CCCCCCCTTTTTTTTTCCCTGGGTTTCAATTTTAAGCCTACTTTTTCCCCAAAATGAAACTCATGAATCTATGTAACCAGTATACAGAAAAAAATTCAAAAAGAAAACAAAGCCTCCTTTTTTCTTTTTCTAAAGTGATTATCTCTGCCACATGAAGCTTACAACTTAATAAAAATAATCATTAGAGTTTTTGCTCAGTTTTGTCTGTAGAGCTGTCAGAGAAGCCCTGGAAATGCAAAGTACATGGGTGGTTGCAAGAGGCTGGAATAGGGAATGACTGCTTACTGAATAAAGTTTTGTTTGGGGTGATGGAGATATTTTGTAGCTAGATAGTGTTATCAGTATTCTAGATGCTGCTGAATATTGTAACATTGTTTAAAAAGGAAACTGATAATGTTCCATGAAGTTTACCACAACACAAATATTCTCTGTAGGCAAGTGAAGTTTGTGCCTAGGTATTGCTACAGATGAGGGGTCTGCTAGTAGAGGAAGTGGTTGGCACTTCTGATCGCTGTCATTTCACTCTGGATATCTCAATATTGTTTCTTCTCATTTTAACCCCTTGCGTCAAGTCTTTTGTACAATACACTGTTACCTGTTCTCAACACAAAAACTGCATGATGGGGACCTGCCCAGTAGCTCAGTTGTTTAAGTGCCTGCTTAAACAAAGCCCTCAAGCTCAAGCTTCTGGGGTTCCAACCCAGACAGTCACTGCAAACCAGAAATGCCCTAAAGGCATTTTGAGCCTCCAAAAAACAAACAAACAAAAAACAAAAACAACAACAAAAAAACTGCATGAAGCCACTATTCAGGAAAGAAATCACAACCATGGCACTCAGCAGTAATGGCCACCTTCTGTCCTTTGGTTCTCTCTTTTTTTTTTTTTTTTTCCTTTGGCGGTACCGGGGATTGAACTCAGGACCCTGAGCTTGCCCAGCAAGTGCTTATTCTACTGAGCTATCTCCTCAGGCCCAGTTCTCTAGCTCATCAACAACTTTTTCTTCATCTAAAATGGGACAGTCATACTCTTCTTCATAGCCACTATCTAATGCCCCTTCTTGAGCTACATCACCCACATTAATAACGTATTTCAGTCCTGATCTGGATGCAAGTTCTTCGCCTAGTGTGGTCTTTCCAACTCCTGGTGTGCCGGTGATCAAGATGTTCAGAAGCACCACAGTCCCAGATGTGGTGGGTAGGCACGCGTCAGCTCGTCATTTCATACTAATTACATGGCAGTGTCATAGTTAAAGTTCAGATGTTTCTGTCAATAGAAACAGAATATTTTATGACATAACTGCCAAACTATTATATATAATTAAAAAATTCATAAGTAGTCATCCTACTGGATGGAAAAAGATATAAATGCTTAATATATAAAGAACTCAAGGTAACTCCCAAAACAGCCAGTCAGAAATGGGCAAAGGACTGGAATAACATTTATCCAAAGAGATAAAAGATGGTTAGCAAGCACATGGAAAGATACTTAGCAGCTAGGTATGGTGGCATACACTTAGAAGCCCAGGTTGAGGCAGGAGAATTGTAACTTGGGAGCTTGGCCTGGGTAACTTAGAGTCTACCTCAAAATAAAAAATTGAAAAAGGGTCTGGAGCTGTAGTACAGTGTGGAGAGTCTGGGTTTAGTTCCCAGTACTGACAGCAGACATTTAGCAGTTTAAGGAAATGAAAGTCAGAACTGCAGTGATAGGAATATCTCACTTGTCTTGGGAGTGCCTCTGTCAAAAAACAAACAAAAAACCCAACAAAACAGATGGGGTGGTGTATGTATGCCTGTGATACTAGCACTTGGGAGGCTGTGAAGCAAGAGGGTCACTGAGTTTAATGCCAGCTTAGGTTATATAGCAAGACCCTGTCTCAAAAAACCAAGAAGAAAAATGTAACAAGTATTGAGGATGTGGAAAAGTTTAGTGTGTGGCATTTGTCATGTGTAGTTGCCTTGGAAAACAGAATAGCAATTCCTCAGAAATTTTTTTTTTTTTTTTTTTTTTTTTTTTT